GAGCGAGGTACAGGCATTTATTTAGAGATACAGTGAAAGGACAGAGCTCCCGGCTCACGCCAGGAGGGGACAAGAAAGTCTGTAGTGGTATGTTGTCTAGGGGGTTTTATAGGCAGTTGAGTATTTTTCGAGAAGATGAAAAAACTTAGGGGTGGGGACTTGTTAAGTGGTCCCTTAATATTAAAAATTAACTTAACATAAGGAATTTCCTGCATTGATTTCTCTCTGGGACACCGGTGCCTTGGTCTGGGAGCATATCAAAAGGCTGCCTGCCCAGCCCCCAAGGTGGGCTGAAGAATTGTCTACTTGCTAAAGAATCCTGCCTCTTGAACTTCCTGGGTGTTAAAATGCAATTTTATCTTTAAGATGGAATTCTTGCCTTTTACCATGCAGTCTATAGCTGGATCTGCATGCTTAGTTTGCAAAATCACCTTGTCAGATCTGAAGGAGGAAAGACAGCACACAGGCCTGGGCCTTTCAGCATGCTAAAGTGAATTTTACACATGGTTACAAATGATTAGCATAATAAAACACGTGCTACTCTTCTTTATCTGGGGAACGTTAACTGATCTCACTGAAGAATGATTCTAGAGCTTAATGTTTAACGTAGAATTTTAGTAGGGGGGTTTCCTTGCGTGTAGTTATATTGCTCTGACTGCAAATATCCCACTCTGCCCCCTCCAGAGGCCCTCACCCTACTCTGACTACATCCATGGTCCCTGTCTCTCACCCTACTCTGACTACATCCATGGTCCCTGTCTCACCAGAGTACCTGGTACATAGCCATAGTTTTTAAACACAAAATATACACATACATCCAGCCACATATAAATGAGGGCCAGCTTCCTAAATTTGCCTGCCTCTACTTTCAGTCACTTCAGGTGTGAATTTCTGTCCCAGGTGACTTTCCCCGGTTTCTAGCCATGGAAAGTGGGGTGATCGCGTCCTCCAAGGGCATGGGGACTACTTGACAACCAAGCAACCTAGCGGCGACCCACTAGCACTGGGGACACCAGAGCACCACCCACGGAGCGCAGCGGAAACCACTGGCAGCCCGCGTGCGCCTGCGCTCTGTGCAACCCGGGGACGCGCCCCCTACGCGCGCGCGCCGGCGTCCTACCGATCGCTTAGCCCCGCCCCGCGGCCCGGAAGTGCACGCGTGCCGTCAAGATGGCGGCCTCAGCGGTCCGGCTGCGCGGCCTCTGCCGCCCGTACCACGTTTTGCTGTTCCTCTCCCAGTTCTACATCTTGTCGGGTGGTGGTGAGTGAAAGGCCGGGGTCGTCGCGGGGTCGGGATGAGTGGCAGGCGGACCCGGAGCGCTGCGGTCGCGTCCGAGCTGCGCCCGCGGGCGGAGGGCGGAGGCGGAGTGCCGACCTTGGCGTTTCATTCTTCAGTTTTCTGCGCAGACGAGCTGTGAGGTTTCATAAGCAGTTCTTGGCCTGGTGTGGACCCTGCGTGTTAACCGCAAAAACCAAGGTTTCATATCCCAGGATAACATATTTCTCTAATTGTAGGATCCTTAGATTTAGAATATTCGCAGCCGCTGGCTCAGTCAATAAAGGATCCGGGCCCAACACGTACTTTCACAGTAGTTCCCAGGGCAGCAGGTACTAGACATTTTCTATTTTAGTAAATGTGTACAGTATATTTACATCTAGTGGTTTCTCAAACTTTTTTTGTGTGGATAAAATCACTTTGCATTTTTGAATATTTCATTGTATTTTAGGTTATGTGAACTAAAGGCAAATACTAGCTATTTTCTGTAGACTGTCTTGATATTTCAATACCTTTTGACATTCCTGCCTCATCTTTTTCCAGTTCCACACGCCATTTCTGTCTTCTTACCTGTATTGTTTTTCCCCTTCACTCATCAAGATAACCTTCAACCAATGCTTCCTTCCCTTCAGAAAATTTCTTCTACTTTTTGAATCTTGTTGCTGATGTTGGGCATTAATGGCTCCTCCCAAGGCTCTGTGAAAATGGAAGGATCACGGAGGGATTGATAGAGACTTGGAGTCTAGGTCTGGTTGTGTTACTGGGAGCTTGAGCAATTTACTCACCCCTTTGGGGTTCGCTTTCCTTATCTTTAAGGTGGTGAGGTTAGCCTGGTCCTCTAAAGTTATTTTAGCTTTGTGATTCTAAGTGTCCAGCCTCCAGCCACAATAGTAATGAGAAGAAAAGAAATACGGTATTTGTAGAATTGGCAACTTAATACAGCAACTTTAATTGCCTACTTTTAAGTGACTCAGTTTTAAACGAGTATTCCTGTGTTTTGCTAAATGGACCCTTTGTCCCTGTAATTTATCCCTTTAGAGTTACGTTATTTCAGTGAATTGAAACTGACAGATATTTTGCTGATTCTTATTTGAACATAAAAAGGTTCTAGACAATAGCATCATACTTGATGCTATTTAAAACATTTGTTTTATAGAGAAAGCACAAGAAATTTTTACTCGGGTGTTTTCTGAAAGTTCTTCTTCACCAAGAGTCATTGCAATTTGATCCCCTTATAATTGATAAAAGTCTGTTGTACTCCTGGCAAAGCTGACTGGAAAAAAAATTGCAACTCTCTGAACAAGTCATTAATATAGAGAAATATTTTGATCCTTGGTAGTGTAAAACTGTAAATGTTACTAGGAAATTATGGCTTATTGAATTACCAATGTGGAATAATGATAAAGAATGTTTTCTGGAGTTGATACCCTATTGTACTGATTAATTTGGTTACAGAGTCATCAAATTACAAATTAGTGAATTTGAGTGAAAAAACACATTGGGTTGGAAACATTTGGGTTGTAGTTCTAGTTTTGTTACTTCCTCTGTGACCCTGAACAAACTATCTCAAAGCCTTAGTTTTTCACTTGCTACATGGTAGAGTTTTTGAGGCCCTAACATATACCTAGCATAATGTACACATTATATGTACATAAGCACCTTGGATTTTCGTGGTCATTTGGGGGACAGTAATAAAGTCCTTTTCACTTAGCTTTTGGGCTGTTGCACCAGGTTAGGCAACTGGCTGGTGAGAGAACTCTGCCTTAATTTGGGTGTTTCTGATTTCTAACTCTCTGCTTTTCATTCTGGCACAGTATCTCATTGCTAATCATTGTGTCCCTTAACCTTAGAAAATTGTTTTTCTCTGTCATTCTGATCAGTATTATAAGAGAATAAGCTTTTTCCTCTCACTTCTCACAGAAAGTACTGATATCCCACCTTATGTGATGAAGTGTCCAAGCAATGGTTTGTGTAGCAGACTTCCTGCAGATTGTATAGAATGCAAGACAAATTTCTCATGTGTCTACGGGAAGCCTGTCACTTTTGACTGCACAGTCAAACCTTCTGTTACCTGTGTTGTAAGTACTTCAACTTACTTATTCTAAATAAGCTCACTGCAAACCTCGAGTTGAAAGTGGAGTTTAGACTTGACTATGGGGGAAATTATAAAAGTGCTCTGCATTATAAATAATATTTTAGGAAGAAAGTTAACTTTATCCGAATACTGACACTTCCATTTCCAAGAAAGGTTTGGTTGCAAAGGTTCAAATGGCAGTTTTTTTGACATAAGGATAGATTGGAGCACTTACCAGACTCAAGTCAGAAATAGAAACAGTCCAAGGGCACCAATTATTGCCCATTAGGAATGACCTTGTTGCAGTCATGCTACCTACATCGTTTCTGTGATCTTTTGAAAGACAGGAAGGAGCCTCAAAAGGCTTTCATAATTATTGTTCATAGAGTGCTCTAGGGATACATGCTCCTGTTAGAGTCACAGACTGCTGGAGGCAACTGCAGACATGCTGAATGTGAACACGTCAGGGAGGTGCAGGTTATCTGCATTTTTTAACAACTGGACCAGGTAAATTATTGCACACTCTGTTGTTTGGGACTTCTGTCCTACCATCTGAGTGAAATAAAGAATAGAAATGAATATGAAGCGTGTTTTCCTCTTGGTCCTGCCATCACTACTACCTGTGTGATTTATTAATCTGTCTTTTGCTGAATGAGAGGATGGGCCCAAAACACCCTTTCTTGAAGTGTTTCCTTGGAATCCTAGACTTGAGAAACAGTTCAGGAGGAAGACACAGGTTACATACCATGTCCCCTTTTACAGATTTCCTTTGACCCAGCAATCATAGCATTTCCATCACTTGAACAAGGTCCCTTTCCCTCCATTCTTTAGAACTTGGTCATGAAGGGCTAGGTTGGAAAGTTCCTTCATCGCAGGCAGGGCTTTCTGTAATTTTCCTGAAGTCTAGTGTCAGGGGAGGAGCGAGGGACACTTCACTCAAAGGGGAAATAAGATCTTATGTTGTCTCACTGTGTGAATTTAGTTCTTGTGAACTTAAGTATTTGTCAGAATTTTCATGTATCAGCACAATGGAAAATCAAGCTTACCAGGTAGTCTTCATTATCTTGAATTATCAGTCAGTCATTGTTGCTGTATCTTAAATAGAATTTTCTCCCTAATTACTTAATTTACTTAATAGCCTATTTATTTGAAATCTTCTAAAAATTTTTACCTTCTGTGTCTGGTATGAGCAGGTACTTAGTGAAAACTGGGATAACTTTGACATCTTTCCAGAATTAGCCTTCTTGTTGTTTGCCTCAACTTTTTTGACAGCCGCCTCCCGAAACTGGTTACTAAGTGAGATATAATTCTCAATTTTGTATTTCTTTAGATGTTCCCAAAGCAAGCTGTTTCATAGTGGACAATAGCAGAGCATAAGAAAAATAACAAAGTTAGAGAAATTACAAAGCTTAGGAAGTTTCTGAACTCCTTGGTCATGGTCCCCGGGCTGTCCTCACCCTGACTGGGAAGTGCTCTGGGTTGGATTCTCCTCTCCTCTCCTCTCCTCCTGCTCCAGGTGCTTTTGTCTTACCTGCTTCCTGTACTAGCCAGAAATAGTGAGCTCTGGAGAACAGCAGGTGCCCAGTCCTCAACAGGGGGAATGGATGTCTGCACCAGGAGAGTCTGGTGGTGTGTCCCTTCTTCAAAATGGAGAACAGGAAATCCGTGAATGGCTGTCAGGGGACATGGGTCCTGGGGCCCCCAGTTGCCAGGGAATCCACAGCAAGTCACAGGTTCTTCCCTTACTTGCTTAAAGAGGATCTGTAGGGTCCCTTCTTGAAAAACTACCATTTCAGGAAGAAAAAATCATGAGCATCACACACACACATGCAAATACTTGCTCTCACTTGAGTGTAACACACTCAAGCCTCCCCCCTTATTTTGAACCTAAAATTAATTAAATACTCTCCTAGTCCTCCTCCATGCATACTGACTATGGACACAGACTAAGAGAATCTCACCTGGATTACACTAGGGAAATTATGAGGGTCCTGTTAAATATGTAAATAGAAGTAAATGTAAAAATCCTGCAACCCCTTCAGTATCAGATTGCTACTGTTCTAATTATAATGGTAACTGTCAAGCCGGTTGATGTCAGCTGGAGATGATCTTGACAGAAGTGTTGCTTTGTAATATGTACAGAAGATAGCAGTCTGCTAGTGTGTCTGAAGCAAGTGTAATTCCTCAGAGGGGTTCTGTGTTCTTGGTAATGACAGCTGTTTTAGAGGGGACGGTAAGAAATATTGTTACTGTAGGTGAGCTTTTGAAGGGCTCTCTTCTCTGTGGTATAAAGATGGATTCTGTAAATACTATGATGCCTGCATGCTATCCGGAAATGGGCAGAATCCCTGTCTTGTCCAGAATAAATTCCAGATAGATCAAAGATTTAATGTGAAAAATGAAACAGTGAAGTGCCAGAAAATCATTTGATAGAAGTAGGGAATATTTTCCTAAATATGAAATAAAATTTAGAAGCCATAAAATAAAGAATGGAAAAATAGACTACTAAAAATTGGAGATTCGTCCATGACCTACGAAAGCATAAAGGCAAAAGATAAATGACAAACTAGGAAAAAGTTTTCTGACACACATGACAAATAGTGGACTAATATCCATAAATATAAAGGTTTCCTAAAAACCAGTGAGAAAAAGATGACAAACCTATAGAATCCTGTAGAGAAATGGTGTTAGGCCATGAACAAAGATTCACAGGAAAGAAAGACAAATGGACTTCCAACACATGAAAGAAATGTTTATTCTCATTAAAGAAATACGAATTAATGCATTTTTTGACTTAATCAGATTGGCAAAAAAATGTGAAAGTTTGATTAACACTCTGAGAGCATGAGAGTGTAAGAGACAAACACTCTTATATCTTGTTAATGGGTGGGCAGATTGACCAGCCTCTTGTAGGAGTTTGTCAGGTCTGTGAAACTTACAGGTGCATGTAACCTGTGACCCAGAATTCCAAACCTAGGAATTTATTTTACAGATATTGTTGTATATGGATGCAAATAAATATGCATAAAAGTATTCTTAGGTGCATTTTTCACCAGGCAAAATATTTTAAACAAATTAAGTGTCTGAGAGAGAATTGTTCATGGTCCAGTTTGTTATGAAATAAAAACGTTGCAGCCATAAAGAGAACTAGGCAGTCTAGAGATATTTACGGATACTTACCAAATTAAGTTACAAGTAAAAATCAGTGGGAAAGTTAAATTTTAAAAAAGCAATATATCTGACATAAACATGCCCATGCAAAGAATAGACTCCCTAGAAGGCCAGGGGTAAGCAGTACTTGCTGGGGAGGCAGTGGCTGTCGGGGCCCTGGGCCAGACCGACTTCCTCCTCACGCTCCTTTACTGTCCTGGAATTTGTACACATTATGAAATCTTTCTTAAAAAATTTATAAGAAATGTGTTACAAATGTACCACTAGAAATAGGCAGTTGCTAAAACAGTATTGCCTAAATCAGAGATGTCCTTACCTAATTTTGAATGCTATCCATAAAAGCAGTGTTGCATTGATCAAAAAAATTAATAAATATGATACTTCCAGAGGTGATTGTATAACCATTTAAAATGACAACCAACAGACAGCCCCAGAAAATCACTCTCAACTTAGAAAGAAAAATTATTTTGTAAAAATAATGTATTATGAGACAATGTCACGTGGGGTTAAAAGGATACAAAATGCTTTTGGCATAATTCTACTTAATTAAATCTATGCTGCAGGAAGGAAAAATAAAAGAAGATGAAAAGTGGTTCTCTGGAGAGGTTATAGGGTTTTCTTTGTAATTTCCAAATGTGCAGCATACGAAGAACATGTGCTACTCTTAAAAGCAGAAAACAAAATAATGACTTTTTAAGTGGAACTGAAAAACTGATCTCAAATGCTTGGGGCCAACAATAAATACTTCCTGAGTCTCTACATACAGTTCTAAGTTGAGAGTGATTTTCTGGGGCTGTCTGTTGGTTGATCATGTTAAGTGCTGGTGGAATCTGAGCGGAAGTAACAGCCCTGGGTGCTATGGTGGAGATAGACGGGAGACTTGGTAGCCAGGCAGTACGTACTTCTAGGAGCATCAGGCTGGGGCTGGGGAATCTGAATTCTGCATGTAACTTGCAGCTCAGTGACCTTGAACATATGTACTCATCGCTCCTTTCGGTATCTGACTCTGGATAATACATTTTCCTTTATTCTGTATTATAAAAATACACATGCTCATTATTAAAAATTTAGCCAGGTGAAAGTTCTGAAATAATGTTGCCATCATCAAATAACCTTTGTCATTTTGATGTGAATTTATCTAGACTTTATTTCTTAGGTATGTATTTTTGGATATGTATCTTATGATTATAGGTTCATACATATTTGGTACCTTTTTTCTGCCACTTCCTGTTAGGTCCTAATAATAATAAAATAATTTAGGAACTTTGTGGCATATGTAGTTTTATTGACACTTAACAAACTATTATATTGTGATTGATTAATTCTGTGTCCTTTGGTACATAGGATCAAGACTTCAGATCCCAAAAGAACTTTATCATCAATATGACTTGCAGATTTTGCTGGCAGCTTCCAGAAACCGAATATGAGTGTTCCAACTCCACCAATTGCATGACAGTGTCCTGTCCGCGGCAGCGTTACACTGCCAACTGCACAGTGCGGGACCACGTTCATTGCTTGGGTAAGTCGGAGTTCAAGGAAATTCATGACAAAAATACTCTCTCTAGACTTACCTATGAAACTTTAACCAGAAATTTGAGAATTAAATTTAAATTATTTAAAATCTAAATTGTTTGTTAGCACTTTTTACTTATGCCAAACCTCATCAGCAAATTTGAACTAAAAAAAATCCATATGATTTGCAATTCCCTTATCCTTAATATGTAATATTTAATTAAAAAAAGTGTAAAGTATAATATTTGGTAATTGACTTTCACATAATTAACAACTAAAGCAGTCTGATGCCATCAAAACTGAGTGCTTTTTCTGCACTGGCTGCTCTGCCTCTTCCAAGGTAACTGCCCTTTTGAATTTTTTCCTCACCCCATTTCCTTTTCTTTACATTTTTTTGTAGTTCTAGGGATGACTTAATTACATAGATGTAGTATCTATCATGCATATAATAAAATACTGTATGATGTAATAAAATGCCATATGATATTCAGTAGTACATGTTTTAAAATTATATAAAATGATAGCAGGCTGTTTTTGGCCTTCTGGGACTTTTTTTTTCCCCTCTCAACTTGATGACTCTACGATTCAGCTGTGTGTCTTATTTATTTTTTACTTTTGTTTAATCCATTGTAAGATAGTATGATCATTTATCCATTCCCATGTGTATTTGGATTATTTAGTATTTTGCTCTTACAGATTGTGCTGCTGTTAAAATTTGTGCACACATCTCCTGGTTCATGTGTGCGGGAGTAGGACTAGCAGACTGTTGAGCGTGTATTAATTTCCAAAGTGGTTTCCTCAGTTTACCTTCTCACCAGTAGGACCTGACTGTTCTTGATGATCCACATCCTCTCCAATATTTGTTGTTTCTTAAGTTGTGTCTTTTTCTTAAGCATTTCTAACAATTCTTTTATATTTTGGATAGTAACCTTTTGGTGTCCCTAAAGTCCTTTCCCATATTTAAATTTTTTCCCCAACTTTCTTTTCATTATCTTGAACAGAACTTTAAAATTTTAATTAGTTGAAGTTACTAGTTCTTCATAGCCCTTTTTTGTTGTAAGAAATTGTTTCTTATTCCAGTTTCAAAAAGATAGTTTCCTGTATTTTCTTTTAAAAGTTGTAAGTTTGTCCTTTCACATTTAAGTCTATAATCCACCTGGAATTGGCTTTGGTATATGGTGTGGGGTAGATCGGGCTCACCTTTGTTCCCACCTGGATAGCCAGTGTCTTGGGCCCCTTCCGGGCCAGACTGTGTCACGGGATGTATTGACGTGTGTGTGGCCTGGTCTGTCTGCTTTTCCTTGATTGATTTGTTTACCTCAGGATGATGCTTCTAGATGGGAAGGACTTTGTTTTCACCAATCACTGTGATAACATTAATTATTGTAAAGAGACTTGACTTTTTAGATTTAAATTACAAGTCCACTTGTTACAATTAAGTCTCTGGGTAAGAGTGTATTTCCTAGTAGAGTCTTTTTTTTTTTTTTTTTTTTTTAAAGGTAACCGTACTTTTCCGAAAATGCTGTACTGCAATTGGACTGGAGGTTATAAGTGGTCTACAGCTCTGGCTCTGAGGTAAACTTTGTGGCTAGTAAGTTAAAGATGCCATTTGAATTTTGTTGGGATCAGTGGAATGTTCCAGACATTGAACTCACATGTGTTGAGTAGACCATAGGAAACATAGAGCTGTGGGGAATTCTTTAGGTGGTCAGACAAGTACCTTCATAGAGTTTAGGATGTCAGCTTTTCTCCCAAGATGACTGCATTCTAGGATGACTTAATTGAATCATTATTACAGATGACTAGAACCAGTCAGGGTTTCCCATCCTGAACATACTGTGAAACAATGAAATGCTGTATACTATTCAAAATAGGTAGGCTTATGATGTCTTTTTAATTTTTGTCTTCTTCTTTATTATAAAAAAGTAGTATATGCTCAATACTGAAAGCAGGAAAAAAAATGAAAGTCACAGAAACATTAAAATAACCTATATTTCCACCATCCAGAGATAACTTTAGACTTAGAATTTTTACATAAAAACTTTGACTTTCCCACAGCTTGGAAAAAAAAAATTGTACCAATTTTTGTCAGCAGAAGGCCAGACAGGTGGGATGCTTGTTAAAAGGTTGTGCCAAGTAGAGTTGGAGGTTTGGGTTCAAGCCTGAGGCTCTGGGGCCTGCGACATGACAAGGGGCAGGCCTTCATAACCTCGCCACTGTTCATTCTTTGTTGTGGGGCAGCTTGAAGTACCATGGTATGTTCAGCAACTGACTTGAAAGTAAGAATAGTTTCTTCTCTAAGCTCAACATAGTTTCTTTGAGGACGGTTGCTGTGAATGTGGTAATGCCCAGGGTTTGCCTCAGCGCTCCGCGGGGCGGGATGGGAGCACAGATGCGGTGGGGTTGGCCACATGGTGGAAGTGTTGGAGCTGGGGCATGGGTACTCTTCTCTTCACTTTTTACTTTCATATGTTTTGAAGTTTTCCATAATAAAACTTTAAAAGGAATAGAATGAGAGGTCAGAATATTGTTAGATCTTTGAACAATTTGAAGGAACCTTAAAAATCATTTATTCCCAACACTAAACTTCTAGAGATGAGTGACTGACAAAGTCAGACAGTTTGATCCAGGACAGCCAGATGGTCTTGAACTGTCTCATGATGTCAACTTCGGACTCCATGTTTGTGCACTTTGTGTTAGACTGGCTCCCCTCTGTGTTCTTTCAGGCAGACCATTTTCAAGATTTAAAAGCAATGACATCTATTACTTTTTTAAAAAAGATAAACATTAGATTTCAGTACAGCTAGAATTTTTGACATTTAAACAGTCTTCTTGACTATTCATTATTTGGATAGTTCATTATTTGGTTATAAATTTGGGAAGTAGTCATTTGTGTCTTTGAGCGCTATGATCATTTGAGGCCCTTCCATAAGTGACTCAGTGAGGTTATTGAGCACGCCTGGCTGCAGCTGGGGGCCTCTGGTGGGTGACAGGCCTGTTTGCTGTTGCAGCATTACCCTCGGAGGGTTTGGAGCAGACCGTTTCTACCTGGGCCAGTGGCGAGAGGGCCTCGGCAAGCTCTTCAGCTTCGGTGGCCTGGGAATATGGACTCTGATAGACGTCTTGCTAATTGGAGTTGGCTACGTTGGACCAGCAGATGGCTCTTTGTACATTTAGCTGTGGGTATGTGCTTCAGAGAGGAGCGGTGCTTAGAAGGTACTTCCTTTGCCTGTAGGAATTGATGTGCTGTGAGTGATGTATTTTCTGTTTTTAATGTACAGCATCTGTACTTTGCCTGCCTTGATAAAGGTAAAATTTAAAAATACACTGAACCATGCTTATCTGGAATTTGTTTTTATTTGTGTGAAATATTTTTTTCTGTGAAAAAATTTAAACTTAGTCTTAACTAGAAGAACAAATTCTACAATGATTGGAAATCTACTTGATTCCTCTGACTTCAGTTCTGTATTGTGTAAGTCAAAGTGTATCCAGCCCTGGAAAGTGTTTCAGCTGTGATGACAGAAAGTGGGAAGTGTTT